AGAAAGCATTACGTTTTCTAAACGTATAAAGAATCGCTACTTAAGCGTGAAATTAAAGCATTTTATTTTTTGTGAACGAAGCAATGAACATATGAACAGATCTCACCAAAATAGGCATAAGCGCAATTGCTTTAATTAGCTTAAAAGGATGCTTTAAACAAGATCTTAATATACATATCGTCATTTAAAGTAAAAAACCGCGTATGTGACTTTGCATAAATTATTTTCTAGAGAGTAAAAACACTCATATTTCAAAATGGTTCTCTTTTTTTATAAAGCAATCGCATTTCTGGATAGTATATTTCAGGACGAATGGATAAGTATTGAGCCAAGAGCTTGTGTGAGCAAATCCAATTTTTGGCAGCAAATGTCAGTTACGGGGTGTGGCAGAATGACGATACGCGGTTTTGTACTTTAAACGACGATATATATATATAAAGTAAATTATACTCTTTCTGTAGTAATATCTTTCATATCACATATTTTCATTTGTTAATTTAAAAAGAAAGAAGATTTCAATGCAGTTCAAAAAACTAAATTTGATTTATTTAAGGAGACTTTTATGAATTTTACTGAAAAGACTTTAAATACACTCTAAAATTTTTTTATTTATTTGCGCATATTAAGAGAGATAACCAGTTTCCTCTTTTAATGTGTGCAAATTCGCACGCCGTGTAATAAAATTAATCATTGCCTGTTTACTCTTACATACCAAATTTGTCGCAAGACCAAAATAACACATAAAATGTTTAAAACAAAATAATGTTTATTATTAGTAGGAAATGAGTAGTCCACTTGCAAACAGCGTTATGTGANTTTGTCGCAAGAGCAAAATTACACATAAAATGTTTAAAATAAAGTAATGTTTATTATTAGTAGGAAATGAGTAGTCCACTTGCAAACAGCGTTATGTGATTTTATAATAGAAAGTTATAAATTTGAAAAAGTGATTACGACAACAAGTAACATTTAAATTGAATCTTTTTATTATTACCTGAAATTTTTATAAAATTGTAACATAACATAACATGTCATAAGATAACATTAACAGTCTATACGATCTAAAGCAGCTTTCTAAGTTCATCAGAAGATTGATACTTTTGAAAGTTCATAAATAAATATGATAGCGACTTTTGGAAGAAGACTTAACATTTGATGCTATTTTTTTCAGAATATAAAAAGATTTTGCACTCTGTTGTTTGTGGACATGAAACTACTTTAAATACTGGTACGTAATCCGCCAAAAACTCACAATCGAAAAAATTTTACATAGCGCACTTTGCAAGTAGACTACTCAAATGTATTTGTAGTTTGAAAATTTTTGCAATTTTAAACATTCTATATATGTGTATATTTTAAAGATCCCAAGTTCAAAATCAAATACTGAACATCTTATACGTATACAGATTCTTGTTGAAAAATAGATACTTTTCAGTAGTAGTTTTACATGCTTTTTTTAGAGTGTACTTGCTACTTATTATATTTACTTTGCAAAATACTTATGCACAAAAAATGTACTTTACAAATTGAAATTACAAATGCTTGATTTTATTCACATGTATTCCAAGTCCTTAGGATGGGTTAAATTATGTCTTTTTCATGAAAATGTTTGGTTTTCTTACTAATTATGAGATGTATATGTAACAAAAAAAATTGGATACATTTTTGGCTTGGTCAGGGATACATTTTCTTGAGACGGCGCGGCAACACTGCATGTAAGTGCTTTTGTCTTTTCTCTTCCTTTTTTTCATTAGTTGTTTTACTTTGAATTTTAATTGCGTAACAGAAGAGTAACATGTTCGAAAGATCCACATTCCGTCATGCTACTCCACCTGCAGTGGTTTTCTCTTAACGCTAATTACATTAAATACATATGTTAATTAACTAAACATAAATTAAGAGCAAACGTACATATTTATATATCTGCGTATGTTAATTGACAAATTACGTTTATATATCCGTAGAGAGGTTAATATTGAAAGTTGCATTAGAGCGGTCCGAAACAAATGAAAAGTTAGACACTAATTTAAATACATATAACTAAAGTTTAAATACATATCAATGAAATTTAACTACATTTAAGCTTAAGGAATTTGAAGAATTTCTAAATTGTATTCTTTTTGTATATGTACATATGTTTACCAAATTAATTAATAAATGAATTGTACTATTTAACTAGGAATAATGAGGTGCTAAATTTATTTTACTGTGGGATGATTGAGCCTTATGTATGTATTGGTTGGGTTCGGCGATGCAAGAGGAATGTATCTCTCATAGGTTGGGTAGGGGAGAGCGGATAGGCGGTTTCGCGGCAAATCCACGGGGGTTGATCCAAATGATTCTCACTCCATATTAAGTCGGTCCGTTTCCGTAAGGGTAGGTTTTAAGGGCATTATCTTAATCGTTTAGCTGTTGTCTGTTTTATAAAATAAGATGCGCATGCAATTTTTTTGTATGGTCATGGACATGTATAAAGTAGTGAGCAAGAACCACCCTATCCGGCGAGCTATGAACCAGGCTGAAGCTAGCATGCACAGCTCATCTACCCGCAGGTTAATTGGAATGACTTCATTACAATTTTTTAGAGTGTATGTTCTAAATATGAGCCAAATCGGCAAGTAAATGCAGTTTTTAGGAATATCCTGACCCCGCGCCACCTAGTAAGCACATTTTTGGTAGAAATATTTCTGTTCCAAATATGAACCAAATCGGTCCAGTCGCTTAGTAGTTTAGTGACATACAATATACAGAAAACTCTATGGAATTGTGAAATTGTGACATCTCAACTTTCTTAATTGTTTGGCAACAACAGCAAAAAGTTTTGAGCTTTTTTTAACAGAAAAACCTTCACATAAGGTCCAAAAAAGCACATTTTACAGAATTGAAATCGGTTCAGCGGTTTGGTCAGGCATCGCCGTCATTTGGAAAACATTTTATTTTTTATTTATTTTTATTTATTTATTTTTCATTTCATTTTTATATATATAGATGACATTTTTTATAGATTATTATCTGATCTACAATTTTTGTCTAAACTAATTTTATGATAAACTTACCATTTTCCTGAAAATAGCGAAAAACCCGTTTTCGTGACTTTGACCCCGAGTAACTTTTTTCCAGGTATCATATCGATGAGGACTTTCTAGATTTCATTTATGATGGTGTTTTGAACAATCCTACGAATTTTCAGCTGGGTGGGAATTATTGTAACTTCACTCCTATTTTTGGTCTAATTTGACCGGACTATAATGCTGAAGTGACAGTTCTTGACTAGGTTTACGCGTCTTTTTTCGCCGAAGTTTTTTTTACGCATATTTTTTCGTGCCTAGTGACGATACAAACAGGCCTACGTTCAAAAGCAAAATTTATTTGTATCAATATTTTTCATAAAATTTTTTGATTACTATTTACAAAGAATTAATTAACGATGAACCTTTCCTAGGTTCCTACCAGTCAGCCTACTCGTCTTTTTTCATTCATGAATCCCTTGGCTATGGAAATTTGGTTGTATGTACTTGCTGCTTACGTGCTCGTTTCGTTTACTTTATTCGTGATGGCCCGATTTTCACCATATGAATGGAATAATCCGCATCCATGTATGAAAGAAACCGATATTGTGGAAAATCAGTTTTCCGTGTCGAATAGTTTTTGGTTCATAACAGGCACCTTTCTACGACAAGGTTCCGGTTTGAATCCAAAGGTAAGTTTGCTAGTACTATTGAAGTCAAAATATTTGAAGCATACCAATATTTTTCGAAGGCCGAGCTTTTTTTGGTAAATAAAGTTTTTTGGTTTACAACGATGAAAAAATATTAATTTGACCATTTTTCGAAATTCGAATTAATTTCGAAATTATAGCTAATTTTTTTTGCTACTTGGATTTTATTAAATTTCTCGCATTTAGTAATACATCTCGATTAAAGTTTAAAATTATTTGTTCCCATTTTAAGTTTTATTTCGGCATAAATTTTTGTTTGTAAAAATTATAATTTTAATAATCACTACCAATTTCTAAAATACTGTTGACTTCTTAATCGCTTTAAGGTGCCGTTTTGACCATATATTTTTGTGAAGTTCAGTGGAAATCATTTTCGAAAAGAAAATTTTCGAGCATGAGCTCGAGCAATTCGAGTTTTTTCGAGTAATTTGAGTAATCTTTTTTTTATTATATTGACATTTTTGGTAGCAACTTTTTAAATTTTTCAAATTATTGATATATAATGCAAAGATTGTTACATTGGTATTTAATAATAGATATAATTTATTTAACATGAATTAAAAAGCAGCTGCTGACAAATACAATTTAAAAATTTTCTTTTGTTTATGAAATTGTTGAAAAACTCGAAAATTTTGAACAATTATTTGAGCAGTTGAGCAATGGACGAGTTTCGAGCGAGTATCGAGCTACTCGCATTGCTCGATACCGGGNAGCTGCTGACAAATACAATTTAAAAATTTTCTTTTGTTTATGAAATTGTTGAAAAACTCGAAAATTTTGAACAATTATTTGAGCAGTTGAGCAATGGACGAGTTTCGAGCGAGTATCGAGCTACTCGCATTGCTCGATACCGGGTATCTAGAGCAGTGCCCGCCAAACACTTTCCTGGGAAACGAACTATATTCGGCCTTTCACATGTACACAATCGGCTCCTTACACGTACACAATCCGAACGTCAACAGAAAGAGTAGAAGAGCAACAAATTTTATTTAGTTACATGCAAACAATAGGCGAAGCAGGTTGATGACGCATTAATAAAGTAGGGACACTGAGCAGAATGAAAGAATATTCATTCACAAATTTTATAACACAATTTTTCGTTCATACACCCCTAGAAATAGGTAGTCGTGCTTTTTCTTCATATTAAAAGAACTTTGTGAATTATGTATTTTTTTTAATACCAGACTATGTAGTCCTCAATTAAAACATACAATATGTTTTGTTATTTATCTTTTGGTTTAATCGTTACTTTAAATTGTTCTTAAATGTCAAGTTTTACCTAATTTTAAAATAAATATATATTAGATATATATATTTTTATTTTATTTCTACTTGAAATCAACGAAATTTTCTTTTAATATTCAGAGTGCTCGAAGCACGTTGTCTTTTTTGCTCAGAAATCCACACTTAAATTATAAAAAAATAATAATAATTTTGTACAATACATACAAAATTTTACCAACTTTTTCCTTTCTTAGGGCCGTTAACTTTCATTATATGTTTCGATGTTGTTTAGATCTAAAAAATAGCGCACAATTAAAAAAACGGCAAAAAAAAGATACCAAAGTTTTTATAATAAGTAATACAATACAGAAATTTTTTCCGTGCATTACCACCAACACATTCTCATTTTTTGTTTCATAACTAATACATTCTCATTTTAAGACTTTTCTCTTTTTGGCGGGCACTGATCTAGAGCTCTAGTTCATAATAAATTGTATGCAAGAAAAATTCCTCTCTAGGGCTCGGGACAACTCAGTTGTTACAATAACAAGTAATTTTTAAGCAACAAACACAACCGACATCAATTCTCATATAAAAACTTAGATATACCGTTAATTTCTTAATGACCCAATGATCGGATCTAAACCAGTAGCATGGGACCTATTCTGAGACACCAGATAAAGAATTATGGAAATCGGTTAATGTGGTCCAAAGTTAGGCGGTAACATACATAAAAAAATATTCCGATGAACTGATAACTTCCTCCTTTTTCTGAAGTCCGTTAAAAAGATAAAAATTAATGAGGTAAATTATTATAAAGTTTTAGTGACTATATTTTAACATTTCTAATAAAATTTACATTAAAAAAATCTCAGCTCTCTCTCGTAACGATTTCGGTAGCGGAATTTGAAATTATATATGTTCTAGTTATCCAAAAAAAGCCTTTTAATAATAATATAATAGATTGGCACTTACACATATGTTAGTGTTTGGCCGAGCTTCTCCTCTGATTTGTGGCGTGCGCCTTGATGTTGTCACACAAAGCGGAGAGGGACCTACAGTTTTACGCCGACTCGGAACGATGATTGTATTTTTATGAGAAGCTGTTTTTCATGGCAGAAATACACTTGGAGGTTTGCCATTGTCTGCCGAGGGACGACCGCTCTTATTAAGAACAAACCTTTTTTCTATATTTTTGTGCGATTCTGCTTTGCCCCGGGCTTGAACCCAGGTGCTGTGGAGTGGATGCGCGCACTGCTTACCACTACACCACAGCGGCCGACAAAAGCCTTTTAGGGCGCTAAATTTTTGGCTCGGGGTATACTTTCCAGTCCATAAATTCAAAATTAAAAAAAAAAAATCTTCAAAATAAATAAAATTTTCACGAAATTTTATTTTTGGTATGAAAAATGCGATAAGATAATTTTTAACACAATTTTTGCTAATTAATTACCGAATCCAATAATTTCTAACCAATGCCGATATGCCGTTAACCCTATATCCGCAAGCGTAACAATTTCGCTGGTGCAATTGGTTATAACCCATGTTCCAATTATCAAAAAGAAACCATTTAGGGCGTAATATTTTTGGCTCGGGCCTACTATAGTAGACCACGGTAACATTTTTGTTGATACCTTGACAGTTCTGTAAGAGTTGTGCGGTTCCAGGAAAGCCTACCGCATTAAATTTGTCGACGAGTGAGTACCGCGCTTGACTCCACGCGTATGCCCTTTTTGTGGACTGGCGAGAAAATCGCGGGCCTACCATAGTAGTCCGCGCGAGTATTGGTCTTCCGACTTTATAATTTCGTTACTTTGAATAGGCGGTGCATCAGTGTTCCTAGAAACTGCCGCCGATGGCCAATTAAAATATTTCTCGATTTGATGAACATTGCTGCAATCGACGCTTTCATAATCAACCAAATTAATGTCAATACTAAAAAAAAAATCATTGGTAACTTCTGGCAAGAATACGTGTTGTTACTTCAGAAACCAAATGAGTGGAAGATTAATAATAAAAACTGTGGTAGATCTCTAAAAAAGCGTGGTAGAACGCGTAAACTATGTTTGCGGGTGTAATAGTATGTACATTCCCCAAAGTGTTTTGGGAAATAATACTGAAGGGACAGTTCTTGACTAGGTTTACGCGGCTTTTTTCGCCGAAGTTTTTTTTTCGCATCTTTTTTCGTGCTTAGTGACGATTAGGGAATCCAATCCCGCATAAAAATCGCAATCCCGCAAGCCTGCGGTATCGAGGTCATCAATCCTGTGGATCCGCGGGATTCGCGGCACTGAACAAAAAATCATATTATTTCCTTTAAGCAGATATATTAAAATTTTATATGTAAAAAAGACGATTTTATTTAGAAAATCTACGTATTTATTTCTAATTAGATTGACTTTTTTGATAATATTTCCGAAGGAATAATAAAGTATTTAAGGTCTCGTCTTTTAAATTCGACCTTATTTTATTACACATATACCCAGCAGCGGAAAACGCACGCTCGGCTTCAATACTTGTAGGTGGAACTTCACATGGTTATAAGCAGCTTCTAGGTGCTTTCCTCTATTGCCTCCGCATTGAAAAAGCGTCATTTCACGTTTCAATATCAGATCAAGAGTATTTGCTTGTGCAGATATAAGTACAGATGAAGCGTCGGCTACCCATTCAGTACGAAAACTACGCTCTAATTCAGCTTCTAATGTAGGAGGGGATTCACAATCTCTTGACAGAAGGTCTAAAGCCACGTTGTCGTCTGCATCATCGTCATCAATCCGCTGGGTTTCGGTTTGGGATTGTGGCTGAGCGTCGAACAACAGTATCTCAATTAAACACTTAATTTCGGTTCTTGGCGTTACTTTGCTTGGAAAAAAGAATGTATCTTCCTTATTTGTAGACACAGAATCTTGTTCCAGATATTTAGTTGGATTTTCCAAGTAAAGTAACACCGCAGTCATTGATGGTTGCCGTTCTTTTATCCGGCGACTTAAAGATGTTACAAGATCCCTGCTTAATCTGGTATTTTGCCCTTCCAAATTATTTAGCATAAAAAGCAATGTAGTTTCTGCAGTAACTAACGTTGCGTCGTCACGGCATAAAACATTTATAGCAAGTTTTATGGGCTCTAATGCACTTTCAATATCAATCAATGTTAAACATTCTTCATCAGTAAAGGAAAATGAGGATGGTGTCAGTTTAATATCAATAAGCGCTTTAAATATGCACTGTTTGACTTGGTTGAACCTCGTTATCAATGCTGCAAGACTGCTCCAGCGCGTTCGACAATCTAGAATGAGCTGTAACACCCTACCAAATTCTGTTTTGATATAATTTTGGAATAGATCATTCTTCATTGGAGATTTTGAGCTAAATAGTTTCACGATCTTTCGTGCTTTTTGAATCAGCTCCCTAAAGCAAACGAAAATATTCAATTAAAAACAAACCCGCATGCCTAATAATTTATTCATCCACCTGTATTTTGGTAACAAATCTACTTCTTGAAAGCCTTCTACAACTGAAAAGTAACCGCGCTCATCGTCATCATTTTCGCTGTCGCTATTATTACCGCCGTCACCTCGTCTATTTGCTACAGCAATATTTTGTACATAATTCTCTTCTGAGTCTACTTGTTGGTGTTTGTTTTCATATAGTACGTCAAGAACTGCTAACTGAAGCCCGTGAGCAAAGCACAGTTGATGATGCACTGGTAATATTCTGCCGACTTTCTTCATAACTGCAGCACCATTTGTTGTTACTGCGATGATATCTCGCTTCATGTCAATTTTAAACTCATTCCGTTTTTTTCGAGAGCAGTAACACAGACTTGTGCAGGAAAACTGCCTGCAGATTAATAAATAAAGCTTTTATACACACAAAACAATAACTAAAACTTCATATATGTATAGGCTGATTACGGTCTATTCTGCCTTCTATGTTGTCTGAAACTAAACTAGCAAACTAAATACCTGTATTTCTTACTAGCCCCAAGTTCCAGAGTTTCACAGATTCAGCAGTAAATAAATGAAGATTCAAATTTAAATAGCGACGATTCCTTACGGATGACCATTCATCGAAAGTTAGTGAGAATCGCTTTTGTGAGTTCTTCAGTGCTTCAATTTCATCGATAGTCTTCTTTTGAATCCATGCTCCGTGATACATTACCATAGTTTGTATCGTACTGGCAGAAGAAGGTAATCTATGGCCTTCTGATTCAAATAATTCGCGCATATCAATTGACTTGATAAACTTTGAGAATGGTATTCCATCCTTTGCTACCATTCTACACACAATTTCTTCCATAGAAACTTTTTTCTCGATGGGGAAGTAATCTGTTAATTTCTTTTTTTTGTTGAGGCCGACACTGACACAGATGAAACACTTTTGTTTAAGTGGGAACCTTGGGACGAGCTGCTTGTTCCCATTCCTAGCTCTGAATTTTCAATTCTGCTGTTGATGCTCTGCGTATCAACTATGTACATTCAATTCCGTATTATGCTTGGTTCGCAAGTGTGTGAGGAGCCCTTTAGTAGAGCGGGCAGAGATTTTTATTAGAGCAGGGCATAGTTTACACTTCCCTGAAAGCCCATCATCTGCCTTTAAAAAATGTTTCCACACTGCACTCGAGCTAGTAAACTCTTTATACACCACAGATACACTCATTTTTACTGAGAACACACACAATTTGCAACTCAAACAAGCTTCACTTCTCTACTGATTCGAAAAAGCCTCTGCTACAGCGAAGGCAATGTTTGTATGCTGTTGTGAAGCAAAATGTAAAGGCAAAACAAAGTACTAAAGTAAAATAACAGTAAATCATAGCCTCGTAGCGAGGGTTATCCCCGTACGCTCATATGCCCATACGTGGTGATTCCCCCGTCGTAGCCAGTGCTGTATAGTGTGACCAGGTTACCTTTTTGAGGCTAGATCTAGCAATTAATTTTAAGCCATAGCCTCGGAATTTTTGTTCTGACTTCGTGGCTGGGTAATTACCATACTAAAAATACTTACTATTTCAAAAACTACTGTTTACCGTTGAAAAATTACATTAACAGAGCAAAGCACCATTTCTTTAAGAACATACTTTCTTAGCTTTTACTCTTAGCGTCTTTTTAATTTTTTTCTGTAGTCCCGCAAATCCCGCGGATCCCGCATGTGTAATCCCGCATTTCTAATCCCGCAAAAATGGTGCGGGATCCCGCATTTGCGGGATTGGATTCCCTAGAGACGATACAAACCGGCCTACGCTCACAAGCAAAATTTATTTGTATCAATATTTTATATAAAATTTTTTGATTACTATTTACAAAGCATTAATTAACGATGAACCTTTCCTACACTCTAAAAAAATTTTGTTTAAATTTGAGCATATTAAGATTACACTCTAAAAAGTGCATGTAAACCTACTACTTAAAAGTGTTTATTTTTAACCAGAATCTGTTCAAGTATACGCACAAGATGTTCAAGATTTGATTTTGAACATGAGCTGTTTAAAATATACACATGAAATGTTTAAAATTACAAACATTTTGAAAGTAAAAATATATTTTTTACAAACAATAAATACTTAGTGCCAGGGGCGCACGCAGGAATATATTTTTGGGGGAATGGGTTTATACTTCTAAATATATATCACCAGCAAATACTGAAAATTCGCTCTTTAAAATACATTTATGAAAGGTTATCAATTCTTCGGAGTATTTTTACTTCTTTTATTTATTCCACCGCATAATTTTGCACCGCGTGAACCGATTCCAATAATTATTTTTTTTACCGGAAAGATGGTACCTTAAGGGTCGTCTCGTAATTTGGTTTAGATCCGATCATTAAATCATGAAAAAATTAACGGTTAAAGATGCACTCAACTTTCAAAAGTAATACAAAATTTTACAAAAGAATTTTAATATAAATAAATTAAATAATTTCACGAAATTTTTACACTTTTTTATTAATTTTCGTCGATTTCTGGTTTCTCATTTTTTAATAATTCGAATAACGAAAATTTAACTGAACTTGTATTTTTATCATGTAGCTCATTTTGGTGGAACGAATTCGAAGTTAGCAAATTAAATCTTCGAATGCTTATTAAGTACATATCAGTGGTAAACTTTTTTAGGCTGTAAAGTGTAAAAAGCAACAGTAAGTGAGTATGCATTGCATATTTTTAGGACAATGTTTTCATTCGCAGTTAAACTTTAAAGAGCTCTCAAGAAAAAAAGAAAAATTCTTACAAAATGACGCACAAGAAATGGAAAAGAAAATTTTTTCTTTCAAAATTTCTTATATCATAATAAATTTAGCCCCAAAACCCACCCCTTGTGTGCGCTACGTGACAAATTTGATATGTAAAAGTAAACAGACATTGTTTAATTTTGCGCACACTAGGAGAGGAAACTGGTTACCTCTCTTTATATGCGTAAATTTAAACGAAACTTTTTAAGAGGAAATTTTAAACATTTTATGTGTAAACTATGAACATGTGAACAATAAATGTTTAAAACTCAAAAAATAAATTTGAAATTTGTTCTACGCCTCACATATTATAAGTAATAGTAAGCAAGCAGTGTGTAAATTTGCATTCATTAAGAGAGGAAACTGGTGACCTATCTTAATATGCAAATTTACACACCGTGTTAATTAAACTAAACACTGCTTGCTTACTTTAACTTATCATATGTGTGGCGTATTCAAATTTGTTTTTTGAGTTCTAAACATTTATTGTCCACAATTTCACAGTTTACACATAACATGTTTAAAATTTCCTCTTAAAAAGGTTTGTTTCAATTTACACATAAAAAGAGAGGTAACCAGTTTCCTCTCCTACACTCTAAAAAAATTTTGTTTAAATTTGCGCATATTAGGATAGGTAACCGGTTTCCTCTCTTAATGAATGCAAATTTAAACACTGCTTGCTTAC